ACCGTCCAATCACGACGGGGCGGCCCGAGGCTCCGCCCACCGGCTTCGTAGTTTGCGGCCGGCGGACACCTTACACCGGAGCCCGCAACTTCCCACAAGGTACCCGCTGCCGCCCTCTGCCGCCCCGAGGCCGGGCCTCGGTGGCCTTGTGGGAAATCCGGGCCTGGGTAGCGCTACACCGGTATCGGTGCATCCCTAAGTAATACTATCTGAAAGGGGTCACCATATCACTGCATCCACTCAAAGAATCACCTGCACTCCATACAATGGGTACTCAAAGTGACAACACAGATTGCACCGTGTCAAGTGCAGTCGATAATAGAAATCACCAGCACTCGATATTGTGCAAGAAGCATGAGCACTTTTATTGATCTGTCACATGCATCAGTAGCCGTTTTGCGGTCACTTCTTCAGGGTGACATAGTGACAGTCACTAAGTCGTCCTGAAGTAGGGACCTGTGCAGCCCCAAAACGTTGGCTTAATCATGCATCTGACAGATCAATAAAAGTGCCCATGCTTCTTGCACAATATCGAGCGCTGGTGACTTCTATTATCGACCATATATTGTATGTGATAGCTCAGGGGTAGGATACCTCGGCATTCCACCTGTGATGAAACAACAAATCCCATCATGCTTCTGCTTATGGGAGTCATGCCTGTGGCTGTCAGGGTCTTGCAATGCCTCATGGGACTTGTAGTTACACAACAGCTGGAGAGCATAAGTTGCCTAACCACGTGAGAGCTCGTACACACAGAGCAAGCACAACGAATATAGGAGGGTAAAGCTGTATGGGTGGGAGGAAGCCTGAGACGCAGCTGTGCCATGACACAGCTGAATACCAGCACAACACCAGTAAATCTGGGATAGTTGTCTACTATGCATGCGCTCTGTTGCACCAAACATTCTCTCCGGTCCACTACATCTCACACCATGCATCCCACAACATATACTCTTCAGCATTCAATTCTCTGTCTGTAACACATTATTAGCAATTCCTTTCAGCCTAATTATAGATTTCATAGCAATGCGACTTCCTACTGGTAGCACATGCTAGTTATGATGTAGTTGATCCACCCACCCCGGTGACCAATCAAGTGACCTCAACGTCCCGTCCTTTTGCTAAACAGCTTAATTCTAGCGTGTACCCTTTCCTAGCATCAGGCTTATTACATTACAAATGTCGGAAATAGCTGTCCTCGAGATGCCTGCTCAACTTGTACTGTACAACCACCAAGTACAGAATAATTAAACAGTTAGCCTGTCAGAAACACTATTAGAAACAATGACAGTGGACAACCATCTGCCTTGCAGCGAGTATTGAGATAAATGTTTAGCCAAGCTGAACAGGCATCTTTTATAGACTCCTAACCTGTTGTGTGAGGACCCCTGGAGGACCCAGCTGGCCGTGTTTTGCCTGCACATGTTTCCGGTGTGAGCAGCATGGAAGATCGGTTAGAATTAGTGTGCGGGTGTTATGAGCAGATACTATTCGGTTACCAACTGCAGCCAGCAGCGGAGGTATGCGGATGGGAGGGCAGGGTCACTTCTCTATAAACGTCACACTAATCATTCTGTGTTTTCATCTGACATGACCAATAATCTGTCTAGATCGAGGCTTATGAAGATGTCCGAGTTAGCGTTCTAATTATATGTGCTACAACCTTCATACTTGGCAGATGCTACTTTTTTCTTACGGGGGGATTTATCAAAATCTGAAGCAGATTTGCACTACAGCCAATCAGCTTCTCTCATTTTCAAATCTTACCGGAGCAAATTGAACAGAGATGCTGATTCGTTGCCATGGGCAACTGCTCCAGATTCTGTGTTTGTATGTTCTTGGAACTAAGGCTTCATTCACACTTGCCACTTGTGTTTTTGTTCTCTATATGCAGAGAAAAATCTGCCAGGCTAGATGCTGTGTTTATGCTTCTAGATGCTTTAAATGACATGTGTTTACATACATATGCTTGTGATGCATCTGGTACGAAATCCTAGCTTGAAATCATGTTTAAAAGTTAAAATCGACTCCTGGACACACCTGACTTTTCTCTTTTTCTGAACACAGCTAAACTGACTGCAGATAAAAGCATCTAAACCCAAGCTGTGGATAGATCCATTGGAAATCATTAGATGCATATGCATGTGTTTAGAAAATGATTGTAAACGCATGTAACCACACCTTGTGTGAATGTAGCTGCAGCCCTACACGCATCCTAGGGCATTAGTGCTACTCCTTCATAGAAAGGCATCTGAGGAGGAGCCTAGGAGCGGAAGTTTATTAGCCAATGAGTAGTAAGCTGAGAGCACTTTCTTAACCATGTCAGGATTTAGAATGTTAGAGATGCCTTATTAAAAAAAAAGCAAACACTTCAATATAGTTTTTGGGACACATTTTTATTGTCCAGCTTGGTGGTAGCCCTACTGCAAGGGTATTTATTTGGTTTGCCTAGAGATGGGCTTTAAAAAAAAATACATAGATGTCTACTCAGGACATGTTAACCTCTTGCCGTCCGCCCGTAGTAAAAAAACGGACGGACGGCACTGCTGCATTTGCGGGTTGCCGTCTCCAGACGGCAATTATTTAACAGGTTGGCAAAAAAAAAAAAGTAATGCAAAGGAAATCTATAGAGGTTGAAATTGCAAGTCAACGTAGCTCCATTGACTTACGCTTTACGAGTTTGGTGTGAGCAGACCCTATAGCTTGTCTCACACCTTTTACAATCTGATATGACTCTCATGCTATGTAATGGCTGTTTAAACTAAAGCAGTATGCATGTTCTCCCTGTGCTTGCACGGGCTTCTTTTGGGTACTCCTGGTTTCCTCCCACACTCCAAAGACATGCTGGCAGGTTAATTGGTTCCTGTCTAAATTGGTCCTCATATGTATACATGTGAGATAGCGACCATAGATTGTAAGCTCCTTGAGGGCAGGGACTGATGTGACTGTGCAATATGTAAAGCGCTGCGTAAAAAAAAATGTCAGTGCTATATAAATACCTGTAATAAATAAATAAATCAGATTGTAATATGTGTATCTTAAAGAGACCCTGTCACCATTTCTAACATCTTTATTTTATCACTGCTTTGGAAAGGGCAAGCGTCATAGTTAATATTAGTCCCTCCAGTAAATCTTATCTTTTTCCTGCTTGGCAGAGTTACAGGGACAGCTAGAATCTTCACAATCTGACACTTCAAAGTATGTCAGCCACACTTGTTTCCCAGCTGTGCGGTCAGTACATCACTAATGTGTTTCTGAAGTTGCCAGCACAGTTCAGGGATTCAACACAAATGTCAGATTGGGAAGGTTAGAGTGGGGGTTGATGGCAGCTTTTGTGATTGCTTCACCTTTAAGTGCCAACTACAGTTTATTAACATTGCTAGCTTTAGTTTTATGGTACTAAACTACTGTGACCTAGTTTTTGCCTGTTTGTTGCCTTTGTACATAGCATTATGTGTTTTAAAGTGTTCTTTTCTGCCTTTCAGCAATGGACGGCCACTGCCAACTTCACAAATCATTCTCACACGGCTTCATTATCTGTAGTTGCTGTGAATAATAGATATGTTGCTACTGGAAGCAAAGATGAAACAATTCAAATTTATGACCTGAAGAAAAAGGTAGAGCACGGAGCTTTGCTACATCACAATGGTATGTATCATGAAATAGTCTGAAACAGACTGGATACAATGTGAACTGTGTTAGCAATATTTATTTATTTTGGATATCTGGAAGATTTCTCAGAGAAGCTGCATGATGGAGTTAGAAGAGGTGTGTGATTATATGGTGGAGGATTACACTTAAATGTAGAAAAGACATTGAAGTGTGATTTTGAATGAAGTGTGATTTTGTAGATTTGATGGGGGTAAGCGTGAGATGTAAATTATACATACACCCATACATACACTAAAAAAGAGATTGTCTGCTTTAAAATTCTTCTTCAACACTCTGAATCCATCGCACAGTTGCGCTCTGCCGCATGCTAGGAAATCAAGAAATCCTTACAGACAACCGAGCCTATTTATGGCCATACATGACACAACCTGATTTTCTTTGATCAATGTTCTTTTAGATTTATCAAAACCATATAAGGTGCATATGCACCTAAACAATCCATTAAATTTTCAGACCAGTGAGGAAAGCCCTTGCACCACATAGTTGGTAGTAGATGTATAGGAGAGTGTACAATCTGAATATGGTCAGCTTCAGGGTTGCCAACCACTTAGAGCTTGAGTCATCCTGTATAACGTAAAGAGAGATAAGCGTTTCCTGTTAGTGGTACACACAATTAGATTTATATCTATACATAAATACCTACCTCCATGCTCTCCTTCTCATTGTTGCCTTTCCCCTTCCCTGGTTCTGCTAGGTCAGGGGTAGGCATCCTCGGCTTTCCAGCTGTTGTGAAACTAAAAGTCCCATAATGCATAGCAAGACTCTGACAGCCACAGGCATGACTGACGGAGATACACATGATGGAATTTGCAGTTTCATCACAGTTGCAATGCCGAGGTTGCCTACCCCTGTGCTAGGCAGATTCTCTCTCTGTGCATCTGATTCTCTCTCTACCTTCATGCTGTGCTCCCACCAGACTGCGCAGCCAGGTAACACACACACACACAGAGAACATATGCAGATGGATTGCATGCATATTGACAACACACAGCATACAGACAGTACGCGGTGCATGCACAATCCGAGGACACAATGTGCAATACTATTTATTAAAGTTGTAGTAAGCATTGTCAGAACTGTATGACAGATTTACTATTTCTCCCTGTAGTGCAGAATGTATGTTCTTTTTTCATATAATGCATTAACAGACATCCCAACTCTCCCGGACGCTCCGGGAGTCTCCCGCTTTTAGATAGCGGCTCCCGGCCTCCTGGGAGAGAGACACTTCCTCCCGGAAAGGTTTATTCTGCTCGATTGAGCAGAGTAAACCTTTCCCTGCGATCGTTTTTTGTTTTTTTTCTGACATCGGGAGCCACGGCCCGTCGTCAGTCAGAAAAGAAAAAAAAAGCCATACGAATGCATATCTAGATTCCTATTGGCTATTGCACTTTGCAATGATTATTTTCATAATCGATTAGTTGGACAATAATTTTATCGATTAATCGGGGGGTGCCATTGAAATGGCATTGCAACTCACCTCCCGCAGCAGAATTTGTCAGGCGGAAACCAAAAATTAATTTTTTTTATTTATAATTTTTTAAAAAAATAAATGTATTGTAAGCACATGGCTCTTGAAAAGCCTCAGCCAGGGAATGATGGCTGCCCGTGGCAGGATTCTGCAGACTGCAGCTGAATGTAAATACAGCAGGTAGTGGGCTGGTGCAATAGCCAGCCTGCTAATGGCCATTTCAAATTGCTATAGCAGGCTTGGTATTGCCCCCGCCCGGAGAGAGCGAGAGGATCCAACTAATTGATAATGAGAATAGTTGACAACTATTCTCATATTCGATTATTATCGATTAATCAATTCGTTGGTTGCAGCCCTAATCACCATACTTAAACTTTTGTTCACATGGCCATTTTAAATTATTCATGCTTGGTCAAGCATCTTCCATGTTTGTGAAGGCCATTTGTTGCCATCCCTCATGGCTGTGGCACCATTCCAAATTAGTTCAAGCAAAATGCATACTTTGCTAGTATTTCTTTTCAGTGCTGTATATCATTTTTTTTTTTTAATTACACCAGCTAGTTGTGTGATGTAAATGTTTTCTGATAAAAAAAAAATTGTTCTCTTTCTAGGATAGCTTATAATAGATTGCATATCATTCGAGAGAACTCCTTAAGACAACTATTCTTTTAAATATTGTTTGGCTGCACATGTCAGAAGTCAAAAATACACTACTTTGGGCCCTTAGCAATGAAAAACTAATGGCAGTTTAACAGGGCTTCTAATGCCTGTTTCACAAGGTCTGGGAACCATCGATCTCGCATTTCCTACCGACTTTGATTGACCTTTTTTTCAAACTCAAAAGCATTCACTACTAGTGATGGGCTCGGGCGTGTTCGCAGCTCCACGTGCCGAGCCTGCCAGGAAGCTGACAGCGTGCAGCGCCAATCAGGTACTGAGTCATGTTCCCGGTCCAATCTCTGCGGTCCGCAGAGATCGGGAAATGTCTCAGTGCCTGTGATTGGCGCTGTCTGCTTCCTGGCGGGCTCGGCACGTGGAGCTGCGAAGACGCCCGAGCCCATCACTATTCACTACCTCATTTTGCTTGTTGTGAACTCCATCATATGCTACCTCCTTGCCCCATGACCCCTTCCCCCCCACCCCTCTCACCTCCTTGTTTTCCTTTCCCCTTTATGGCCTCATGCACACTACTTAACAAAACGTTAAGGTCAGGTGCGTTTGGAGCTCATTTCTAAACGCACCTGGACTCGTGTAATGCTTTTCTATGACTTAATGCACACCTAGGTGCCCAGCAGCATCTAGGTGCCTTCAGTCTAGGTCAGTTTACCCAAAATAGAAATTTCTGCATTTCGGGTCCGATTGGCCCAGTTTTATGCGGCTAAACACGACTAAGCCCGGCACAGAATAATTTGTTTATACGGACCAGATAACTTCTGTTGGGCTTAAACGCAGCCTGCTAGTGTGCATGAAGCCTCTTTCTTTATCTCGCTATGTAAAGATTACCTCCCACACCATCTGTTGTATCCATGATGAATCCCATGTGACCTATTAATGTGCAATGCACTTATGTGGTCATCCCTACTGACCATTTTACCAAACTTTCTAAAAACGATTTTAAAATATATTTTATAGATGTCAAGGTAAAAATCCCTTTGTGACGGACCCCCGTACTCAGGATGAGTATGTCCGCCGCTGTCTTCTTCCTTGCTGAGGAGATATTGCAACACGCTGATCTGTAGCTCCCAGTTTCCCCAGTCACTGGTCGGGACTCAGTGTAGGGTAAACAAACTCTCATTTATTGAGCAACTGCACAAACTTTTATACAGAAAGTGATCAGATCAGATTATAATCCCATCACATCCCCCCTCCCCTCCCAGAAATCCTGTCTTCACAACACCACAGGGCTTCCCCTGCTAAATAGCTCCAGGCAGCCATAGCAGGAGCCTGGCCAGAACGTCATTGTTCTGAGCTCCTTCAGAGTACAATGGGAGATAACGAGGGATGGTGCTGATAGTCTTTCCATAAACAGGTTACTCAGTATAACACACTTAACTAGAACCCATCACCAATACACATTTAACTCATAAACTCATCACCATGTCGTCACACCCTTCATGCTACATTCTTCTGTCACATCTAAGCATACCTGTTAAGGTTGCTGATTTCCATCACATCAGTGGTTGCCATGACTCCTGTAGGTAGGGTTTGTTCCTCTACGGCAGGGGTGCCCATTAGGTAGATCTACCAGTAGCTCTCAAAGCTGATGCTGGTAGATCACGGAGGGTGTGAATGGCGGCCCCTTTATTCCATGTTGGTATATTTATTTAGCTGTGCACACATGATTACCTATTAGCCTGCTGAGCCAAGCTCCCTGACACCTTTCTGGTGGATACTGGTGGTTGAAGTGCTATGTATTACATCAAAGAATATTACTTTACACAGCCTGCTGCACTGCACTGTTTGCAAAATACAGCAAGGTGAGCCAGGAGACACAGCCAGGGAAGAGAGCGAAGAGAGACAGCCAAGAGAGCGAAGAAACAGCCAGGAGAGAGCAATGAGAGACAGACAGGAGAGAAAACGAGGAAAGACAGCCAGGAGAGAGAGAGCGAGGAAAGACAGCCAGGAGAGAGAGGGCGAGGAAAGACAGCCAGGAGAGAGGAGAGACAGCCAGGGGGATGAGACAGAGCGAGGGAGTTTTTTTTTTTCCGTTGGTAGATCTCATGTAGCTCGCCATTTGAAAAGTAGATCTTAACACAAACATTGTGGGAACCCCTGCTCTACGATATCACACATGGTTGCATGCCTGTCTCGGAACTAGCACAACACTCAGTAGTATGACAATGGTAGTCTGCACCACTAGATAAGCAAACAGCTACACTGGCAGCTTCCCTCTTATGAGTTTCATTCTGTTTATTCAGGTAGCGTTACGTGTCTGGAGTTCTATGGCAATACACACCTGTTAAGTGGAGCTGAAGATGGATTGCTTTGTGTGTGGAATACTAAGAAGTGGGTGTGTCAACAGACTTTCAAAGCACACAAGTGAGTGATCTATTCGGATTATCTATTTCCTGTCTAATATGGGGATATTACATTGGGTCCTCATGTGTGTCCTTCTTTCCTTAGTCTCTCTTTCAAATGGAACTGGGACACACACACACCAACATTTTTATTTTTTTTGTTCTCCTCTAAAGGTCACGCTCATATTGACTTAATAGATCTTTACAAGGACTAACACAGTTGAGGTTGTTAGCACATGCAACCTATTGTAACCTATTGCAACGTCATGTCATACACAAGTACATGGGGTTATGAACTTTGTGACTTCAAAAAAATGGAAAGACACAATGTAACACTGTGGCTGCCATACTTATACAACCATCTTTGAGGAGCCATATACTAACGTGGCCATATTACTGGAGCATATATGTTGCATTCCAGGTGGCCATGCTAACCATATTGTCTGTGCTTGAGGAATCATCCTCCATGCATGTGAAATCTGTTTGGCACCGTAGTGTAGAGCTGTGTGCTTTTTTTTTTTTTTTACACTGTTGTACTGTCACCTTGCCATGTTTTCCAAATTCTTACCAAAAACATTGTTTACAGTTAAGTATTTTTTAAAAATATGTAAGATTCATAACTAATGGCATTGTTAAAACAACATTCCAAATTAGCTGTCCTAGTAAAGGGCTTGTTCACACTGTGTCCGTTGAGCTATGTTTTTCTGCACACCACCGGTCTGTCAGGAGGAGAGTGGAAAGCCCTCATAATTGCCATAGGTGATGAGTAAACCCAAGAACTCCCAACCAGTACAAGCAATAGCTCACAGCTTATCCATGTTAGATTTCCTGTAGCCTTTGTTTGGTGCATTAGGACAATACAAAGTTAAAGTAAAAATATTTCCAGCACTCAAAATCCTAAAGTATCTTTTACTGTATGCCCATAAAAACAGTTCGCTGATGCATTTCTTGCATCATTGGCATGGTAATGTTTTTGTGGGTATACAATTAAGTATACTTTGGAGGATTTTGAGTGCTGGAAATATTTTGACTCCAGTATAAACGTTTTGAGTATTTTTTTTTTTTCTTCTTTTACAGAGGTCAAGTTCTGTCTCTTTCAATCCATCCTTCTGGAAAATTAGCCTTATCTGTGGGTACAGACAAGACTTTAAGGTAATGCTATTACAGTGTTTATGTGGAAAACCCCTAATGCTTAAAGGAGAACTATGGGGTCAGGGCCTTTCCCCATAGTTCTCCTAAGGGTAACGGGAGGACACAAACTAGCGTTCTCCCATCACCCAAAGCTCAGTATACTGCGAGCTACAGCTCGTGGTATACTGAGACGCTTCAGCCGGGACGGAGCCCGACAATACTGTCTGGATCCACCAAGCTGCGTGAGTGACAGCTGTACCCACCCCCGTCCCGCCAGTCAGTGCTGGAGGATCGGACAGGGGAGGGGGGAAATCCCTGCAGGGGCTGTGGGTGACAGTCATGGCTCTCTGCAGGGACAGGATTGAGAAGTGAGCGAGCGACGGTATGTGTTCGCTCACTTCCCGATCTATTGAGCAGACGTGTGACCGTTTCATTGTCACATGTCGTCTGCTCGAACTATGAGGCAATGAAATCACTCACCTCATAGTTCTCCTTTTAACAAATTTGTCCCTAAACACCACTATATTAATGTGTAGTCTTTTGTAGATAAATATGTATAAGAAATCAACTTGATAATATATTTGTTTCATCTAATAAATATATCTGTGTGTGTGTGTGTGTATATATATATATATATATATATATATATTTTGTTAACAGTATTGTTGCAGTGTATGATTTGCAATGAAATCTTGTATGTTCATGGGGCCAGCTTTCTTACAATAAAATGTCTAGGAGTTGGTTGACTCATTGAAAACAAGTTTCTCTTTGTGGCTGTTCTCTAAGGCTAGCCATACACTGCTCTTTATTTTTTCATTCAACCTGCGTGTGTCGATCAAGGAATCCCGCTGTTTGCATCGTATTCTGACAGCGGCCGCTGTCAGAATACATGACCAGAGCCGGCAGCTCATTGGCTACCAGCTGTGGTTGTAGGAAGATTTTCGGGGCGGCTCCTTTGAGCAGCTGTTCGAAGGATGCCGGCCGAAAGGTTGCTGACAGCTGCACACACTGCGAATTCTGGTTCTTGAGGAACCGTTCGAAATTTGCACAGTGTATGGGTACCCTTTTTTAAATCCGCAGAGCCTACACTGAGCCATTGGGAGTTTCCTCTAATTGCTAATGTACACATCTATATGTAATTAAATAATAAGAGCAAGCTTGTAAAGATGTGAGTCATATTGCTTTACGGTAAACATTTCAGCAATATTTAATTGCTTCAGGGAAATAATTTCAGTAGAAATTTTAAATATGCGCTTACTGAAAATACACTGGAGGGAATTTATCAAAACTGCAGCAGAGTGAATTAGGAGCAGTTGCCCATGGCAACCAATCAGCATCTCTCTACAGTTTGCTCAGGTAAGATTGGAAAATGAGAGAGAGATGCTGATTGGCTGCAGTGCAAATCTGCTCCAGTTTTTGTCTGCTCCAGTTTTGATAAATCCCCCCCACTATACTTTCCACTTAATCCTTTTGCTGAAAGCAAATTGGGTTGACTAATGCCCTGCTTCTTTTCAGTCATAGAACTGAAACTCATTACTATGATAAATAGTCTTCATGGCCAGCTTAGGCGGAAAGAAATGAGGTCAGGTTTCAAACCCAATTGGTGTAAGTGTGCCTGTGTGCGTGTGCGTGTGCGTGAGTGAGTGCGTGTGTGTGTGTGTGATAACAGATGGGTAGTACTGTGGACTAGAGATTGGGAAGGGGGGACATGATGAGTGAATTTCAACAAATTGATATAAGCCTCCTCTTCATTTAAGTGATAGGACAAGATGCGCTTGTCTGGTTATAGATCAGTAGGCTGACTGCCAATTTTTTTCATTCAGTATAATGTCTATGGTGTTTTTTAAGTGAGTTAAACATTCGCACTACTTTATTATTCATCCTTTATTTTATTTTATTAGGACCTGGAATCTTGTTGAAGGCCGATCTGCATTTATAAAAAATATAAAGCAAAGTAAGTTGAACTTCTTTCGATTCTGCTCTATATTTTTCAAATCTTCAGCATGATAAAACAATCTAATGTTCTTGCTTACAGATGCACATATAGTCCAGTGGTCTCCCAGTGGAGAAAAGTATATAGTAGTCATACAGAACAAAGTGGATGTGTACAAAGTTGAAACGGCTTCAGTTATTGGCACAATAAGCAATCCCAAGAGGGTCTCTTCTGTGCGTTTTATTACAGTAAGTAGAGTCATACATTTGGTGGTATTTTTAATTTCCTTGTAGCTAACTGCTATTCTTGTATTTCATAGCCTATAAAGACCAAATCCATGCAAACCTGATATCTTGGAGTTGGATTCCCCAACCGGTTTCTTTTATATCTTGTAGAATAAAATAGCAGAATTTCCCTCCAGTAACTTCTGTCTCTGTTCCCTACTACAACATCATGGGGAGCATGATACCATCATTGATTTTGTAACGACCATGGCAGTATCTTGCTGGTAGAGCCTTCCAAGTGATATCTGAAGTCAGAAAATCAGTTTCAGGCGCTTTTGGCTTTTAACCCTTTTATTGCTACTGACGTAACTATTACAGTACTGGTATGTAAGCTATAGCAGCTGGAAGTTTGCCTTTATAGTTCCAGGAGTCGTTTTGTTCGGTTGTAAAGGTGCCCAAACGATTTTTGCATATACTGTAAGAGCCTTCCCTCTCCCTATGTTTCCCTCCTGTGTGACCGGGACCTCCATGGCGGGTGTCAGGATGGAGAGCAGAAGTCGAGCAATGAACACCTGTTCGCTTATCTCCCCTGGGTAGTATGAACGCGGATATGCTCAGCTTTGAGCTCTTCTGGGTTCAGAGCTGTCATTCACCAGTAACTATGGCCAAGATGTCAGCATGCGGGTGCACACGTGTAGGAAAACAGTCGTGCCAAACTGTTCGGTATCATTGCTAACGCCAGAGCTACAGCAATAATTCTATCGTTATCATTCACTGTTAACTAAATTGATGAGCTGTAAAGGCTTTTGAAGCATCACCTATGGACAATAGTGCGTGCCGCAGTTTTTCACTGCTTCACAGGAGAGCACAGTTTTGAGGCTTTATAGCTGGTATCTATTTACTTGATGCACACATCTTTTATATTTTACTACAAAATGGGTATTATATTGTAGCTGTGAGCACTTAAAGTGTATTTCCATTTTTGCAGTCAAATTTGAGAAAACCCTTCTCTGTTTATGTGTTCCTATTCACACTTCTTACTTTTTGTTTTTAGATATTTTTTTGCAGCAGGCAAGATGGCCCGAATCTAAGTCTTTCTGAGTACCTTCACAGTGATCTGTCCTTATAGAAAGACTTGGGACTAAAATGTGTAGAATGTGTTTCTCTCAACAACTTCGTTAACAAACAATGCAGAAGTCGGGGTTGTAATCCTTTAACCCTTTGTTAGGACAGGCAGTGTTCAAATCTACTTTACCAATTAAAATGAACAAACCCCTCCTGACATTACAAAGAAGGAGAAGCAAGTATACATTTTAACCCTTAAGTCAAGAAACCCTAACCCAATTAAAATCAATTTAAACTGCAAGAAGCATTTTTTTTAAGCTCATGCTATGTGAAAGGCAACATGTAGCAAAAATAGGTGGCATCCCAATTTGGCTGCAAAAGTAGAAATACACTTTTAAAGGGTTTCTGAACCCTCCATTTAAAAAAAAAAAAAACGCTTTAAAAGAGGTTTAAACTTACCTGTGTTTTCCCCGCGCGCTCCCATCCGAAAATCCGAAACTGCTCGGGCGGCCGCAAAGCATCTCGGGGCGGGCGCATGCGCTTTTCGGCCGGGAGACGAGGAGAGACGCAAGGTAAGTCTATGGACACGTGCACCCGCATGCAAACACCGTGGGACAGGAAGGGCCAGCAAGGTCAGAGGAGTCAGCGCTGGATCAGAGACCCGCAGCAGCGCTGGAGAGAAGGCTGAAAAGGACAGGAAAGAAGATCGGATTAAGAGACATCATTTAAGATAAGTATTTTACTTAACATTGGGGGGAGGGGGAAAATGTTTTGACTTTAATGTCACTTTAAGTTAATTTGGAGTGTATTTTTTTTATTCTTTAGTTTCAGTGGGAAGGGATAGGACCTCAGTCCGGTCTTTTTTATTTTTGTGTGTATACATGGGTATAAAACAGACTTTTTGTTATAGTAAACAAGCAGATTAGTTATCAGCACGACAGGTAAATGTTTATTTCACATTTATTCCCCTATTTTACTTGCCTCCACTAAACTAGACAAAAACTAAACGTAAAAGAAAAGCATATTTTTAGCTCAATGACAGAACAGGGATTCAGTCAGACATGGGATGTTTCAAAGGAAACTGCTGTGCTTTGTTTAGAAAACCCATATTGTTCTGAGAATATAGTGGCGTAAATGCATATTATATTAAAGGTTTACTTAATTCAAATTGGCTTTCAATATTATAATAGAAAATACAGGTTTCATGTGCAATTACCATACTGACAGCAAGAGTACCTGAAAAGGTATAGCACATGGGTAGGCAACCTTGGCTCTCCAGCTGTGCTGAAACTACAAATTCCATCATGCTTCTGCCTCTGGGAATCATGCAATGCCTTATGGGATTTGTAGTTTCAGCACAGCTGGAGAGCCGAGGTTGCCTACCCCTGGTATAGCAATACATGAAATCCTGTCTCATTTGGGCTTTGTAGGGGGCTTTTGTATTCTCTGTTAGTATAGTATACTATAAGTGTGGTTCCCACACTTAAAGTCTAACTCCAGATGGAAAATCTCTCCAATACAGTGGGGAATAATGTTTTATTTGTGTTCTGTGCCTTCCTGTCCATGTGATGCTTGGTCCCCATTGCCTTGTGCATTTCTCTGAAGGCTGTTGCTGTGAGGGCGATTCTCCCCAATGGAGAAAAAAGAAAAAAAACTGCCATAGTTCCACTATCTAACGCAAACAAAAGTTTTGGTTGCAGTTTGGCTTCAAGCGAAAATGAAGAACTCCAGGGAAAACCTTTATTAACCCTTGTAGTGGGGCTAGCCCTGTGCTGCAAGGATTGACTGCTTGTTTTTGTCTAGGTGCTTAAAAAAAAAAAAAGTTATGCTCGCCTGAGCTGCAGAGGTGACTTGCTCTTAGACCGGTCCTTCCAGCCTCTCTCCCCCCCTCCTGTGCAGCGGCCTAAGGTCCCATAAATCCTCACATGCTATACACAGTGGGGATAATTTATTAAAACTGGAGCAGATTTGCACGTCACACTAATCATTCTGTGTTTTCATCTGACATGACCAATAATCTGTCTAGATCGAGGCTTATGTAGATGTCCGAGTTAGCGTTCTAATTATATGTGCTACATCCTTCATACTTGGCAGATGTTACTTTTTTCTTAAGGGGGGATTTATCAAAATCTGAAGCAGATTTGCACTACAGCCAATCAGCTTCTCTCTCATTTTCAAATCTTACCTGAGCAAACTGAACAGATATGCAAATTTGTTGCCATGGGCAACTGCTCTAAATTCCGTTTGCTCCAGTTCTGATAAATTCTCCCCATTGTGTAAATGTGAGGACGCTGATGAACATTTCAATGCTGCTGCGGAGAAGTAAGGCTTCACAGACCTGAGAAGCAGGGAGTCGGCTCAGCAGTTTTAGTTGAGTATCCTTCATTATTTTGTATTTATTTTTTTAAGCACCGAGCCAATAACAAGCATTTAACCCTTGCAGAGTGGGAGTAGCTCGACTGCAAGAGTTAATACACTGTTTCAGAATCCAATTGATTACTTATTAATTATTATTATACAGGATTTATATAGCGCCAACAATTTGCGCATCGCTTTACAATATAAGGAAGACATTACAGTCACCATACAATTTAAGACAAGATGGTAAGGAGGGCCCTGCCCCTGAGGGCTTACAATCTATTCCACCAAAATGTGATCTTTAGATAGAATCCTAGAGATTACACTTGGATTACACTTAAGGGTCTATTTAGCAATGTTTTCACACAAGATTCACACATTTTGTAATCTAATACAGCTGGAAGAATATGTAAAGCTTGGTGAAAGCTGTGTGACTCTTGGATAAAAATTGTTTTAAATAGACCCCTTTTGTGTATCTTGCAATCAGTGTTAAACTATTCTTCTTTTATCATGTAAAATGGATCTATAGCTGCAAAGACAGACGTTCAATGTTAAGAAAACTCATCTGGAAACACTGAACAGAAACTTTTCTTTTTTAGCACACCATGTCCAAATACTTGTAAAACCCAAACAGAATGACGCACATCATCAAGAGTTATGTCCACTGTTTTTAAACAACCAAATATCATTATGAAGATTCAAGTTCAGCTCTGGGCATTTTTCAAGCTGTGTAAATCAGAGCTTGACCTATTCTGGCAACAAGTCTTTGTAATGCTGGCTTGTAGTGTAGTTAGAAACACTGCTTAGGTTTTATGTATTGGTCTTGTAACAGAGGTCTGTTTTCTAAGCAGCATGTCATGTCCACAAACTTCAGCAAGACATGCTGGGTGAATGCAGAGATCCTTGTATACACAGAGTTCCTAATCAGGAACAGGCCATGCTGAAGACCTAGTGCTTGTTAGAGACCTTAATTAGGTCAGCATGTTTCATGTTGCACCCTGAAAATGGGTATAACAGGAAACATGTAGACAAAGGCTAAGTGTACCTTTTATGAAAGCCATCAAATGTACTGGGTGAAATGGGAAGTTTTTGCTTCTTGATGTTTAAAGTTGTATTTTCCTGCAGAGTCAGCTGGTCCCCTGAGTGTTTGTCCTGATATCCTGTTTTAGGGTGGCTCCATTTTCCTTGTAGGGTCCTAAGGAGCCACCTTTGTGTGCTAGTAAGCTGTGCGTCTCCACAAACGCACAGCAATGCAGGACACAACCCTTCCCTGTCCCTATCTCCTGTCTCCTCCAAGCTTGAGGCAGGCAGGAAGGGAGAAATGTCAGTGCAGGAAAGGGAGTGGAGGGGGGGGGGGTGGATGTCAGCCTGAGAGGTACGTACTGGAAATGAAATGTGCTATCAGTGGGGCAGAGGAAGGCATACCTAAGCAGGTGTTTTGAAAACAGTCCTATACTTTGCCTTCACTGTCCCACAGCCCCTTCAGCTCACACAGTGGCTGGGGGTGGGGGCATAAGAGCCAAGCACAGGCAGGATTCGGAAGCACAGAAATACATGGGGCTACAGAAGAGCACATCAAAGTCAACTGCCCTGCACACCCCTGCTGCACTGCACAGAAAGTCCAGCTCTCAACTCTAATGCTTGTTTGTCCCAGCTCCCTATGCACAGTCGTTTCTAGGCTCCCTGATGCTCAAAACCCAGGCCCCATCTTTTAAGTACCCATTGTTTGTGCAGCAAGGAACCTAAGAGCAGCAGAGCTAGTGTGGAGTGAAAGGGAGTTAAAAGTTCACTTGTGCAAGGAAGCTGGACTTGCTGTGGGAATCGCACCTGTGTGCAGGGAAACAGAAATTGCTGTTGAGGGTAGTGGAACTTAATTGCTGTGCAAGGGAATCGGCACTCTCTGGAGACATAAGTGGAGCCATTTTGAACATGTTTGCAGTATATGGAAACCTTTTTAATTGCACATGCCTGACAGCAGCACTATCTTGCGGAGGTCCAACTGCTACATTCTTCTTTAACTTCTTTCATTGTTAGATACATTTCTTTATTCAAACACTTCAATGCAATTTAATTCAGCCAACCTAACCTCCAACTTTCTTTTATTATTTTTAAAAGGATGTCTGTTTGTCAGGCGGAAACTAAGAGGGAAAGTAAAACTAATTTTACTTTCTGGATTTTTACAATGACTATTGGAGATGTTTATCATTGTTTCCATATTTAATAAAATTAGACCTTGTCTTTTTGATTTTTTTGATCAGATTATTTTCTTAGATACCGGAATAATTCTGCACCTGCCGACAGGCAGTTTGGCCCACTTCTCTTGAAGCATACTTCTCCAACTGTCTCAGGTTTGAAGGGTTTCTTCTCTAGGCTGCATGTTTCAGCTCTTTCCATGGGATTTAGACCAGGACCTATAGAAGGCAACAAGAATAGTGCAATATTTTGTTCTTGGTCATTCTTAGCTACTTTTAGCTGTGTGTTTGGGTCATTCTCCTGTTGGAGAACCCATGACCTGCGACCGAGACTGAGCTTTCTGACACCGAGCAGAACATTTTGCTCTAAAATTCCTTGATAGTCTTGAGATTTCAGTATGTCCCCCAGAGATTCAAGGCACCCAATGCAAGATGCAGCAAAGAAGTGCCAAAACATAACTGAGCATGCCACCTCCATGTTTATCAAGAGTTCCTTGCAGATCCTACATTGAATTTTTGGGGTTCTTGGAGACCTTTTAGCAAAAAAACAGTCAGCTGTTTGGCTGGTTTTGCTGGGCCAGCCAGTCCTGGAAAAATAAGCAGTAGTAGTATAATTAAAGCCTCCATGTTTTTTTTTGTTTTTTTTGCATATATCTACTGCTAGCAAGCAGTAGATATATGCAAAAAGTGTTTTAAAAAATCTGCTTTGAAAGAGGTCAATACTTACCTGTGTCTTCCCTGCGCGCTCATTTTGACAATACAAGAAATAATCACTATGCGCATGTGACGGTTTCTACATGGTATTTACCAGAATGTAATCTGGCTGATCACTTATAAATGCTTTAGTCTACAAGTATTTAAATCAAGAGGTATAGCTTTCTGTAACACAAATAGCTGTCTGTTTTGTTGGGTGGGGTTTGTGTCTGATATAGAAATAAAGGGAACAATGAAAGTTATCAAATAAAGGAAACCGCTCATAGGTGGATGAATTGGAAGTGTTCCTAATTCCTTTGTTCCTTGTTAGAAAATTCTACGTCACCTTGAGTCACAATCCTGCAGCTAGTTATTTGCAGTGCTTGCTGTTCACTATTTCAGATTGCACAAGCGTTTATTTATGGGACTATTAAATGTATTCTTTGATTTGAGAAGTCTATTCAGCACAGTTCTAACAGTGTAATACAATGTATGCCCGTCTTATATTGTAAATCAACAGGATGCGCTACTGGCTGTAGCAGGAGATGAGGAACTTATTAGAATCTATGATGTGGAATCTCAGAAGTGCCTGTGTGAATTTAAAGCCCATGAGACAAGGTTAGTCTGATTTTTAAACCATTTTTACTATGGTGATTATTTAGTTATAGTAGGTTTTGTTGTATTATGCGAGAGAATTATAATCTCTTATTTTTCCCTTTGTACCAGAGTGAAGAGTCTGTTTACTTTTAAACATGAAGACTACCATGTCCTTGCATCTTCTTCAAGTGATGGCTACGTTAGGCTGTGGAAGCTAAATTTACCAGAGGTGAGAAATAAGGACTTTAGTCTCTTTTTCCTTGAATTTACCTATATGCGTTTATTAATGGAGGTGAGGGGGCATACAGGTCTGATTTATTTATAATTTGAGTTATTTTAAGAGAGAAAAACAAAACCGAAAGCTAATTTAAAAACTAACAGAGTTATTCACGAAAGGGTGAAGAGTTTGGAGAAGGCAGGAGAAGTGAACAATCTAGGACAACATAGCTGAACTGGAAAGTGAGCTGAATTGGAGAATTTTTCCAAATCTATTTTGGCCTACATTGTTCACTTCTCCTGCCTTCTCCAAAATATTTATAAAGCTGTGCAATCTGACTTTTTCACCAAACATTCACTGGTGGTGAATTGGTCACTGTCATTTCAAGCATATGAACCACGAATGGACAGATTCGCTGCTTTATTAACATGACGGTAAGCCCTCATTCACACAGGAATCGGCCCGCACGTACAGCTCCGTGCTGTGCGCAGGGCTGTACCAAGCAGCTCCCGGGAAGGAAAGGTGCTGCGTGTGATTACTACGCAGCCCCGTTCTTCTCTATGGGACTACGCGGCCGTATGCCCCCACCTTCGCTCACCTCAAATGCAGGTCCATAGGGGTGCGTGTTTCCTGGTTCGGACGCAGACAGGATCCATCCTGTCAGCGTACGAGTACGCTCACCCGAAGTGAACAATCTAGGACAACATAGCTGAACTGGAAAGTGAGCTGAATTGGAGAATTTTTCCAAATCTATTTTGGCCTACATTGTTCACTTCTCCTGCCTTCTCCAAAATATTTATAAAGCTGTGCAATCTGACTTTTTCACCAAACATTCACTGGTGGTGAATTGGTCACTGTCATTTCAAGCATATGAACCACGAATGGACAGATTCGCTGCTTTATTAACATGACGGTAAGCCCTCATTCACACAGGAATCGGCCCGCACGTACAGCTCCGTGCTGTGCGCAGGGCTGTACCAAGCAGCTCCCGGGAAGGAAAGGTGCTGCGTGTGATTACTACGCAGCCCCGTTCTTCTCTATGGGACTACGCGGCCGTATGCCCCCACCTTCGCTCACCTCAAATGCAGGTCCATAGGGGTGCGTGTTTCCTGGTTCGGACGCAGACAGGATCCATCCTGTCAGCGTACGAGTACGCTCACCCGCACCCCTATGTACATGCAGGGGGGCGTATGGCCGCGTAGTCCCATAGAGAAGGACAGTGCTGCGTAGTAATCACACGCAGCACCTTTCCTTCCCGGGAGCTGTATGTGCGGGCTGATTCCTGTGTGCATGAAAGCTAAATGTAGTCGGGGTCTATTTATAAATACATTTATTAATTGTTGTGTGAATGTATCGGCACACGTAATGACTTTGCTAATGCTATATTGTGTGTGAAATGTCATATTCTGATATTGTCTTTCGTAGGGCGAATGTAACAATAATTTGGCAAATCCTGTGTACCACGTTGTTCATTTAAATGTAATTAGAATCTGTTAACTAATATACATGTTATTGTATGGTTTACTCTGGTGAATATAAGCAGTACTGGATGCAACATTCGACCCTAAAAGAAAATACCCAAAGAACATTTTTTGGGGGTTTTTTTTCTTTGCCTCATTCGCACACAGCATTGTCTGAAAAATTCCTTCAATAATGGGTGAATACTGGTTAATTTGCACAGAACAAATGTACATGCAGTTTTGCTGGAGCCAATGTGGGGTTTTTTTTTTCAATTAGACCCCCAAATATAGTGGGTGAAATAGGAAGCTTAAGAAAGATTGAGTGGAGTAAAGCATATGTTTTGCTATGGCTTGTGTATATGGCCCCTTCATTATTAGTATGGAACGTCGTGCACGGATCCCCCTCCTGATTGGACAGAAAGGAAGCGGAGTTAGATTATTTTAAACCTGATGATTTCCGTCCACTATTAAAATGTCTGTTTTGGGTGAATTTACCCTTTTAGAAGGGTAATCTGAATGCATTTCTGCATAAAATTTGTAAATACACTGTTATTTTTTAACATGTATGGCAAAGGACAGTGCTCAAGCTACTACTTTTGTGTAGTAGGGGAATGTGGAAACTAGAAATTGCTTTATTTTAGTACACATAGGGGTCCTAGAAAGGTAAATTCAATTTTGAGAAGTGAGGCGTGGATATGCTTGCTTGTCCATTCTTGGTTGTTGTAAGTGTAAACTATGGAAATGTTGTGCAAACATAGCTAATGTATCTCTAGACAGCCTACATTCCAAGTGATCAATATGAAGTTAAAAGGTGAAATATTAAGACTAATGATATGCTTTTTGTTTGCAGGTAAATTCTGCACCAACGTTACTATGTGAAGTTAGTACCTCAGCCAGACTGACCTGTCTTGCTGTATGGCTAACAGAACTTGGCGACAGTAAAGAAAAACCAAGCACACATACTGCTGCTGGTAAGGATTGCATTTTTCTCATGCGTTTATCTGCTTTTTTATCTCTTTGCCAGTAATATTGCACTGCATATTTCTTTTTGGTCTTAAGAATGTGCGATTCATATACACCAATCAGCCATACATTATGACCAACTGCATAATATTGAGTAGGTCCTCCTTTTGCCGCCCAAAAAGCCCTGACCGATCGAGGCATAGACTCCACTAGACTATGCTGCGTTATCTGACAGCAAACCTTCAGTAGCAGATCCTTTTAAGCCCTGTAAGTTGCAAGGTGGGGCCTCCATGCATCGGATTTGTTTTTCCAGCAGATCCCAGAGGTGCTCTACTGGATTGAGATCTGGAGAATCTGAAGGCCAAGTCAACACCTCAAACTTGCTGTTGTGTTCCTTAAAGTGACATTAAACCCTCAGATTTTTTAACATAAACCAATACTGTAATGTGTGGCTTACTGTAATCCATGGTAGTTTCCCTTCTCTTTGCTGCTCTTCCCTTTAAATCCTCATGTCTTCTCTTGCTGGGGGAGAATTTCCCTTTTGAAGCTGAGTGCCTCTTCCTGTAGTGCTGGCTCAGGTTGTGAACCTACACACAGACACCATGTATCCATTTCAGAGACAAGGCAGTCTGCTGCAAAACAGAAGTTCTGCCCAACATGAGAACAGATACAGATTTAAAAGGAAGAGCAGCAAATAGAAGGGAAATTACAGTAAGGCACACATTACAGTATTGTTTTATGTTAAAAAATCTGAGGGTTTAATGTCACTTTAAGCCAGTCTTGATCAATGTTTGCAGTGTGGCAGGACGCAATATCCTGCTGAAAGAGGCCACTGCTATCAGGGAATACCGTTTTCCATGAAGGGGTTGTAAGCATTACATTAAGTACCTTCTTCCCATAGGGCATTCTAATGCCGTCTCTTCGGCAGGTAAGCTGCTCACGCACCTGGCCATCCACATGATTTAAAAGCGAGCGGGATTCATCAGACCAGACAAGATTCATCCATTGCTCTGTAGACACTTTTCTGGGTCAGCATGGGCACCCTGACTGGTCTGCAATTATGCATTCCCATACGCAACAAACTGTGATGCACTGTGTTCAGCAAAAAGTTTCCCAGCACACTCACCTGCCAGCATGCAAAAAAACAACCTGTCTAACCGCTAAGGTTAAAACCAGGTTTTAGATACACGACTTCTGCAAAATATGTAAAAGTCGCACAGCCGCATCAAGGCTCCTCTGTGTAGTGCGGTCCTAACTCGAGTCTAACCTATGAGAGTCTCCATCTTGGAGCACATGTAGCAAAAGATCAAATTGGGTGCAGGTTCACCAGGAGGAAGCCCAACCTTTAAACAGCAAAGGTTTCCCAGCACACTCACCGGCCAGCATGCAAAAAAAAAACCTCTGTTTTTAACCTTAGCGGTTAGACAGTTTTTTTTGCATGCTGGCAGGTGAGTGTGCTGGGAAACTTTTTGCTGTTTTACTGTTTAAAGCCCTTCAATGTGCACCTTGCTTTAAAGCTGGTTATGAATTGATGAGTGCGTTTTGCTGCACTGTGTGTTCAGACACCTTTCTATTGGAACCAGACTTAGCTTTTTCAGCAATTTGAGTGACAGTAAATCTTTTTTTTATTTTGGATCAGACTACACGGGCCAGCCTTTGTTCCCCATGTGCATCAGTGAACCCTGGCTGCCTATGACTCTGTTTTCCCACTACACCGGTTTTCCATCCTTGTACCACTTTGGTAGGTCCTGACCACTGCAGACCGGGCGCATCCCACAAGAGCTGAAGTTTTAGAATTGCTCTGACCCAGTCACCTAGCCATCACAATTTGGCCCTTGAAAAAGTTTTTCTGCTTCCAACACATCAACTTCAGGGAAAAAATGTTCACTTGCTGCCTGATATATCCCAGCCACTTACAGGTGACATTGTAGCAAGATAATCAATGTTATTCACTTCACCTCTCAGTGGTCATAATATTGTGACTGATCGGTGTATACTTAATTTAAACGGGTTTGCTGTATAACATAAAGCTGTGCTTTTGTGGAACAGGTTCACTTAACTTCCTACTTCACCAGCAGTACACACTCCTCGCTTCCCTGTCCCTAGCATTACATACTTCCCTTTGCTCCCCCACCTTTCCTCACTTCTTTCCTGACAGCTGAATTAGGAGATGAAGTCCAGTGTAAGCATCAACTCGCGGCTTGGGCGTACACAAGGCTAAAGACTTTCTTTCTGAGCCTATTACTAAGCACCAGCACTGCCATGAGGGAGGAAGAGGAATGAGTCAGAAGCTCCCCATGTGCTAGGTACTTCTCTTTGCTTTCTGGAGCTGAACAATACATCAGGGAGCAAAGGGAAGGTATGCCAAGCTGGGGAGGGGAAAGTTAGGTGAAACTGTTGTTTATGAACAGCATGTCCAAAGTATTGGTTAATTTTAAATAAAAATTGTGTTTCCTTTCCAAAACACCCAGTGTTTCCTGCAGGTCAAATATTAGAGAAAGTAAGCAACCTCTTTTCTGATCAGGGTGATACCTAATACAATGAAAGATGGGGGAGCCAAGTGTAAGTTACCAGATCCAAAAGATTTATTGGAGGATCAAAAGTCAAGAACACAGAGATGATAAATGTGGAGAGTCCCACCACACACCTGTCCATGTTGGATCAGTTACTGCAGGATAACTGTGTTTAACTTTGATCATATTCCAGAGATTGAAAACTTGACAACAAGCAGTAAATGTAGCTGGAACTTACTCTGTAAAATATTCTGCTTTATGTTTAAATCTCCTATAAATATTTAATTTCCAGAGAAGGATGAATGTCCCCAAAAGAAAAGTAAAGTCCCTGAGGACAAAACTGAAAAAACTGACGCAGGAGAAGTCGGAAAAGTACAGATAAACAAGAAGAGGAAACGTACAGATAAACAAAAGAAAAAGAATAAACAAAATACGGACTGAGCTCAACATTGAGCATATTGTATTCTACAAATCAGTGTACCATACACCGAATAAAGATTTATTTTGTAGGAGGTGCCTCCTATTCACTTTATTTCTTTTAAGTCCATTCTGTCCTAATTTGTGAGAATAGCACAGTGTATTTATGTATTTATTTATATAGCACCGACAATTTTACGCAGCACTGTTGTGGACCTGATCACAAATTTGGACCGGATTAAAGGTTCCGTACTTATATCTGCCGCCTGGCCTGATTCAATAGAGTGTACACTCAGAGAGAAGAAAGGAACAACAGTCTTTATATAGTGCACATTCACATCAGTCCCTAGCCTCAAGGAGCTTACAATCTAAGATCCCTATCTCACATGCATACAGGGCCAATTTGGAGAGGAGCCAATTAACCTACCGGCATGTCTTTTTGGAGTACCCAGAGGAAACCCATGCAAACTTCTGACACACGCCAAGCCTTTGTGAAAATTTGTCAGTAAGTCAGAGTAGGGCTATTTTATGGCCTGACTGCTGCAAAACAGAAGTTCTGCCCAACATGAGAACAGATACAGATTTAAAAGGAAGAGCAGCAAATAGAAGGGAAATTACAGTAAGGCACACATTACAGTATTGTTTTATGTTAAAAAATCTGAGGGTTTAATGTCACTTTAAGCCAGTCTTGATCAATGTTTGCAGTGTGGCAGGACGCAATATCCTGCTGAAAGAGGCCACTGCTATCAGGGAATACCGTTTTCCATGAAGGGGTTGTAAGCATTACATTAAGTACCTTCTTCCCATAGGGCATGCTAATGCCATCTCTTCGGCAGGTAAGCTGCTCACGCACCTGGCCATCCACATGATTTAAAAGCGAGCGGGATTCATCAGACCAGACAAGATTCATCCATTGCTCTGTAGACACTTTTCTGGGTCAGCATGGGCACCCTGACTGGTCTGCAATTATGCATTCCCATACGCAACAAACTGTGATGCACTGTGTTCAGCAAAAAGTTTCCCAGCACACTCACCTGCCAGCATGCAAAAAAACAACCTGTCTAACCGCTAAGGTTAAAACCAGGTTTTAGATACACGACTTCTGCAAAATATGTAAAAGTCGCACAGCCGCATCAAGGCTCCTCTGTGTAGTGCGGTCCTAACTCGAGTCTAACCTATGAGAGTCTCCATCTTGGAGCACATGTAGCAAAAGATCAAATTGGGTGCAGGTTCACCAGGAGGAAGCCCAACCTTTAAACAGCAAAGGTTTCCCAGCACACTCACCGGCCAGCATGCAAAAAAAAAACCTCTGTTTTTAACCTTAGCGGTTAGACAGTTTTTTTTGCATGCTGGCAGGTGAGTGTGCTGGGAAACTTTTTGCTGTTTTACTGTTTAAAGCCCTTCAATGTGCACCTTGCTTTAAAGCTGGTTATGAATTGATGAGTGCGTTTTGCTGCACTGTGTGTTCAGACACCTTTCTATTGGAACCAGACTTAGCTTTTTCAGCAATTTGAGTGACAGTAAATCTTTTTTTTATTTTGGATCAGACTACACGGGCCAGCCTTTGTTCCCCATGTGCATCAGTGAACCCTGGCTGCCTATGACTCTGTTTTCCCACTACACCGGTTTTCCATCCTTGTACCACTTTGGTAGGTCCTGACCACTGCAGACCGGGCGCATCCCACAAGAGCTGAAGTTTTAGAATTGCTCTGACCCAGTCACCTAGCCATCACAATTTGGCCCTTGAAAAAGTTTTTCTGCTTCCAACACATCAACTTCAGGGAAAAAATGTTCACTTGCTGCCTGATATATCCCAGCCACTTACAGGTGACATTGTAGCAAGATAATCAATGTTATTCACTTCACCTCTCAGTGGTCATAATATTGTGACTGATCGGTGTATACTTAATTTAAACGGGTTTGCTGTATAACATAAAGCTGTGCTTTTGTGGAACAGGTTCACTTAACTTCCTACTTCACCAGCAGTACACACTCCTCGCTTCCCTGTCCCTAGCATTACATACTTCCCTTTGCTCCCCCACCTTTCCTCACTTCTTTCCTGACAGCTGAATTAGGAGATGAAGTCCAGTGTAAGCATCAACTCGCGGCTTGGGCGTACACAAGGCTAAAGACTTTCTTTCTGAGCCTATTACTAAGCTTCCTACTTCCTACTTCACCAGCAGTACACACTCCTCGCTTCCCTGTCCCTAGCATTACATACTTCCCTTTGCTCCCCCACCTTTCCTCACTTCTTTCCTGACAGCTGAATTAGGAGATGAAGTCCAGTGTAAGCATCAACTCGCGGCTTGGGCGTACACAAGGCTAAAGACTTTCTTTCTGAGCCTATTACTAAGCACCAGCACTGCCATGAGGGAGGAAGAGGAATGAGTCAGAAGCTCCCCATGTGCTAGGTACTTCTCTTTGCTTTCTGGAGCTGAACAATACATCAGGGAGCAAAGGGAAGGTATGCCAAGCTGGGGAGGGGAAAGTTAGGTGAAACTGTTGTTTATGAACAGCATGTCCAAAGTATTGGTTAATTTTAAATAAAAATTGTGTTTCCTTTCCAAAACACCCAGTGTTTCCTGCAGGTCAAATATTAGAGAAAGTAAGCAACCTCTTTTCTGATCAGGGTGATACCTAATACAATGAAAGATGGGGGAGCCAAGTGTAAGTTACCAGATCCAAAAGATTTATTGGAGGATCAAAAGTCAAGAACACAGAGATGATAAATGTGGAGAGTCCCACCACACACCTGTCCATGTTGGATCAGTTACTGCAGGATAACTGTGTTTAACTTTGATCATATTCCAGAGATTGAAAACTTGACAACAAGCAGTAAATGTAGCTGGAACTTACTCTGTAAAATATTCTGCTTTATGTTTAAATCTCCTATAAATATTTAATTTCCAGAGAAGGATGAATGTCCCCAAAAGAAAAGTAAAGTCCCTGAGGACAAAACTGAAAAAACTGACGCAGGAGAAGTCGGAAAAGTACAGATAAACAAGAAGAGGAAACGTACAGATAAACAAAAGAAAAAGAATAAACAAAATACGGACTGAGCTCAACATTGAGCATATTGTATTCTACAAATCAGTGTACCATACACCGAATAAAGATTTATTTTGTAGGAGGTGCCTCCTATTCACTTTATTTCTTTTAAGTCCATTCTGTCCTAATTTGTGAGAATAGCACAGTGTATTTATGTATTTATTTATATAGCACCGACAATTTTACGCAGCACTGTTGTGGACCTGATCACAAATTTGGACCGGATTAAAGGTTCCGTACTTATATCTGCCGCCTGGCCTGATTCAATAGAGTGTACACTCAGAGAGAAGAAAGGAACAACAGTCTTTATATAGTGCACATTCACATCAGTCCCTAGCCTCAAGGAGCTTACAATCTAAGATCCCTATCTCACATGCATACAGGGCCAATTTGGAGAGGAGCCAATTAACCTACCGGCATGTCTTTTTGGAGTACCCAGAGGAAACCCATGCAAACTTCTGACACACGCCAAGCCTTTGTGAAAATTTGTCAGTAAGTCAGAGTAGGGCTATTTTATGGCCTGTTCTATCTTTTGCACTTTCTTTATGTGGCAAATGCACACTGTTTAATGGCAAGTATTTAAAATGTCATCTAGTGTCACTTTTTATTACTCAAGTATATTTCAAGTTGGTTTTTTTTTTCCCCCCTCGATATTGCTGTACTGTGTTCACCCTACTCCCCTTTTGTCAGTAATTTGGTGGGTGCTGCTGGAAAACACAAAGCTCCATCTCTTTAACCCCGTAACACCAGATTATTATTTTTTTTTGTATTCTTTATTGACTGAAAATCGTGCAAAACAAGTAAGAAATACCAATGGTCAGTCATCAAAAAGTGAGCAGTGCAATGTTCAGGTATGAGTCTCAGCATGGAAATCTGGATAAAGAAAATGTCACGCAATATGCATCGGTCACAGTAATGACATAAAGCAATAAATTGAAGTACTAATAATTCAGAGTTCCTAAGCAAAGGGAAAAACAAAAAGTGTCAACCACCTTGTCTAAGGTTCATCAAAGGAGTTATAATGGTAACGAACAGCAGTGGGAAGGGAGGAACAGGAGGAAAGAAAGACGGGAGAAAGCATTAGTGAGCACTGAGAAAATGCCCATGAAGGAAAAAGAAAAGAAGGAAGCCAAATGCCTGGGATGACCCCACCATAAGGTCGAGCAGGATAAGGTTAGGTCCTGGAGCAACGCCAGAATTAAGGCGTGATAAAGTTAAGATATGTCACGTAAAATTGTAGTAGGCACTCAACAGGTCATAAGGTCAGTATAAAGATCAGAGTGTCGAAAATAAAGCCAGAAGTCCCATGTAGAAGAGAATTTCCCCTCAGAATTTCTTAAGGAGGCTGTCAGGTCTTCCATGACATACAGGTTGTGCACCTTAGAGAAGCAGAGTTGGATCGAAGGAGGACAGGATTGTTTCCACAGCAATGGAACACAGGCTCTAGCTGCATTCAATAAGTAATGTCTGAGGGAATGTTTGTATTTGGAAATTGGATTACAAGACGTGTAACAGGCATGCTGTGGTTATTTCTGAGAGACCAGATCATTTTAAATGTTTTCCTTTTCCCACTGTAAGACAAGACTGTAGTGCATCTAGGACTTGCTTTGGAAGCTGTATGCAACCATTTAGATGCATCTGAAAAGGAAAATTACAGAAGGTAAGCATACAATGTTCTCAACATATCGTGGCGGTATACACTGGGAAATAATAATGACAATATGGGAGGGACCTCAAGGATGGCTTCATAAATATTCCAAATAATTATTCGATACTCCTAAAGTCCACAGTCATAAGAGCTGCCATATCAATCTTTCAGTGATTGATGAGATGAACATAGTTAAA